TTTTTTTTTTTTTTTTTGCATTTCTACAGCTTATTTGACTACATAATCTAATGGTCAGTGGGCACCGTGCTAGCGATTTTGATGGTTGATTTGTTTAAATAAACAGTTCTGCAGATAACACTATTTAATATAATCGGCAGCAAATGCTGTATTTACACCGTGCATTGTTCCAAGTGTCAGCTACTTACTCGGCGGCTCATTAAGTCAGTACTGAATTTTGCCCCTCAGCTCGAGTGGCATTGCATGTTTCACTTTGCATGTTATTTTTGCTGCAACCGTCACACTGACGAGGTCCAGTTGCAGCGCTGAACAGGAATGTATGCGACTTGATGGACCGAAACATTCCTATTTAGGTTTTTTAATCCGATTTATCTTATTCACCCTCCTTTTATTCCTTTTAACCCTTACTTTTTACATAAATACACATCATCTAAAATTAAAATTAAAGTTTCCATACAACAGAACTGCCGAAAAAAAAGTTTGGAATTGAAATGTGTCTCACTGGTTTATATAGGCAAGGAACTCCCGAACAGTTTAGCAGTCGATTTAGAGGAGTATCAAGCGTGTGCTAAGCAGATTTATGAAACTCCAGGGTTATTTTATGGCAATTTCGAAATAGCCCACCGATTGGGTCGCGTTCGTGCCTGGTCTCGGTGCGTTGCTCGGCCACTGCTCTGAGCATCTCCTTGCGTTGTCGGGCGTGTTTTTCATCGAAATAGAGTTTGATGACGCGTGCCACGATCAGACTTAGTGCCGTGACCAGAAATGTGACCGAACCCAGGAACAGGTAGTCCAATTCAGCTGCCATCTCTAACAAACAGGAGGTCTGTCACATAATGATTTATGGCTTTTTGTTAGAAGAAATTACGTAAGGAGCAATTGCATCATCACGGCGGGTCACCATTCCACGTCTATACGCCTCGATTATTACTTGGCGTTCCCCTCATGAGTGTTGGGTACCACTTGTCGTCCCTTTACACCCCTCAAGTACCACCGGGCGTCCCACCCCCCTCCCTTGATGGCCTCACTCCCCCACTTGGCGGGTACCACATGGCGTAAACCTCTCCCCCCATCCCCCTCACCTAACCCAAACGTAAACCGTAGCAACCCATGAAACGCGTAAACCGCTTCCTTACAAAACGTGGCACGGGCTATTTTGCTTTTTTTGCACATTGCTTCTGATTATCTGTAGGGTCTGCCTAGGCTTGGGGTTTACGTTTTCACGTACGTGTGGTACTCCGGCGCACCTCAGTTGTACTTCTGTGTATGTGTTTTGTGTGTGTGTGTGTGTGTATGTGTGTGTGTTTGTT